GAGTTAAGCGAAATTTGTCTTTCCTGCATATTACAACGCACATTCACGCACATACACAGAGGAAATGTTACAATGATATATATATATATATATATATATACATGAAATAGGATATTCCGGACAATCCATGCCTCGATGTGTACACACGTCTGTTGATTCCAAATATATTTAACATATTTGCTAATATTTTGCTAACAAATCACGGGACAGTAACACAGATGGTATACAAGTGTTGGTTTGTAGAGATTTGATTGGTTACAGGATTTCATCATGAGCTGACATTAGTTAGAGAATCATTGGAAAACCACAAAGGAGTACTGGACAGCTGTTTCGTAAGCCTAGTTTCGGACTCTTCAGCAGTACGCACTCACCGGAATTTGGACCTAGGACCTTCCGGTTACAAGGCGAGCTCGTATACCATTAAGCCACTGGGACCCGATCCAATGTCTATCCCATGAATTCTAATTTCTGCCAATTCACGACATAGCGCGACCCATAGCCAATGTCTTCAGTGGCGAGTATTTGTCCTCACACCCGACCTGCTGCACCCTACTGGTCATGACTTCTCAGATAACTACCTACCTAGTATACGAGCTCGCCTTGTAACCAGAAGGTCCTGGGTTCCAACCCTGGTAGTGGGTGCGTACTGATGAAGAGTCCCAAACTAGGACGAAAAAGCTGTCCAGTACTCCCCATGTTTTTCAATGGTTCTCTAATTAATGTCAGCTCATGATGAAATCCTGTAACAGATGGTATAGTCGAACCGATGATGTAATATGTTAGTTACACAGAAAATGATAACTGTGAATTCAAATAAAATGCATTTATTGACAGTAGTAGTTCGCCTAACCTAATGCTGTCTGTCTGACATAAAGCGAATGGAAATTAATCCACTTAGGATAATTTCCTTCTCTTTGTCACCCTCCTTCGAGAAATTCACGATATTTGGTTGAAAGCCAATTAAATAATATGCATAAGTATATAATCGACTCATGAACATACTAATAACTGAATAACTGAAGACTTCAGGCAAATAGTTTTATTTCTCAGGAATTGACGGTTTGTTCTGAAAATCTCATGGAGACTTATCTCATGTATTGAGATGCATTGCCTCACCACCCCAATTCAACAGAATAATATAATTTACAAAATACCCTGAAATGACTGTGAATGAGGTCAACTACATAGGTCAAACTAGTAGATAGGGGATAATCAGATTTTCGGAACATAAGAATTTAGCTAAGGTAAGAATGGTTGACCCCACCCGAGAAGATAAGTAATTTAGAAAACAACTCAGCACTACATTGCATTGCATGCATTAACACACAACCACACAGTAGGATTGAGAGAGAGATTAATTACTGAGTCCTGGTTCATTGAGTCTACACCCAACACACCACATGCAACAGAAGTGACTCAATGCAAATACCAGAGATATGGAAGATATTATTACCACCAGTCAGTCAAATCAGAAGAGGATAATAAATAATCTCAAAATTCTATTTCAATTCACGTACACCATAAAATTTTAACAATTGACTTATTTTGACTATAAAAACACTCGTTTTATTTTCCATCTGATTGTAATTGATCAATAGCACGTATATTATTATTATTTCTGCATGTACATTATCACATATTGATTTTTATTCAAATGCCTATTCAGTCCACGCATGTATATGAATGAAGGAAAAAAGTTGTGTGAGTGAGTGACTTGATATGATTGTGAGGGGCAATAGTTTGTGCTCAAAACGTCATCATCAGTTAATATTACTATATATCATTGTGTGATTTGTCAAAATAAAATCGTATCTTTAATGAAGTTATACTCTACCACAGAGCTCAAATTTTATACTTATATCAATAATACATTTGTTTGAAAGCAGATTTTAAAAAGTTTAGAAGTACATTTTGAGACTCAACGACATAACAAACAGTAATCTCATGTACTGGGATACATTGTCTACTCATCCACGCCGTCCACCAACACCACTAGACGTTTTTTCATGTTTAGTAGAACCTTGTGAAACCGTCGGTTGTAGATGTTTTAAATTGTGGCGAGAGTAAATACCACCATTAGAGGTCGTATTTCAATAGACTAAAACAAAGTTAACTGAAGAAGGTATATATGCAATATAATGATGGAGAATTTTCGGTAGCCCAAGTTTTAAGCAAGTGTATGATTATCTCCTCTTTTAATCTGCCTGCGTCACTAATAATTGTTACTATGTATACGGATGTATGAAAATGATGTTTTACAGGTTTTAAGGTTGAAATCTCCGAAGAGATATCTGTGCCACCGAGCCTCTTGTTCTTTTCTCTTAAATGTCCTGAATGCATTATACTGTAGTGCACAACGACTTAAAACTCTGAAGTCGCACTAAGACACCAGTGTCATTTCTTTCTATATTTCGCTGTACTCCACTGATCATGGACATGGGGCCCCCGTGTAGCTCGAACTTTTTCTTTCTCTTCAATCTTCCTTGTTCCCTGAGAGTTATTGTACAAACCTCTATTTCTCAACCCATTGCTTTCGTGTATTGAAGGTTGCCGTCATTCCAGCAACTTTCTAAGGTTGGGGGGGGGGATGACTTTGAACTTTTGTTTCAACGCATTCATTCACCATGGTGACACGCCATCTTTGCTTTTTTCCTGCTTGACAGCTCACAACTGGCTCGCTCCATCGTTATGCTGTCTTTAAGCAAACACCTCGAGCTTCCTACCGCAGCCTGTCGACAGATAAGCTGTACAGTACTACTACGTATTTAGTTTTGGTTTTTCACTCGTTATATAGTTATATAATTCATATCAAGGATTTGAAAGAGGTTAGTTACTTCATTCACTCATCTAGCTAGGGCGCATTGTCTCAATCGTAGGACGTCGGAACGGACAAGGATGTCAAATCGAGCGAGAATCAGGAAGGCAGGCAAGAAAAGCATTCATCAACCTGAAACAACCAATCTGGAAATCTTCGTCACTCAGCCAGTATCAACAACAAAATTCGGTCGGATTTTCAATACAAGCGTCAAGTCAGTCACCTCTTCTATACGGATCGGATCAGAAACTTGGCGGGCGGGTCACAAAGAATATTTCCAACAGCCTGTTGCAGATCTTTATCAACAATTGTCTTCTCTGGATCTATACTGAAGATCAGATGGCCGGGCCGGAAAGAATCACCAACAACAAGAAACTATGAGAAGAAACAAACAAAACAAGAACCAAACGCCAACCAACAAATATGCAGGAGAAAGTGGAGATGGATGGATTGGACACTCACTCGCTGAGGAAACCGCTGAGTGATATCGCGCGCGCGTCAGGCCATTTCTCGAGTGGAACCAGGCCGAAAGGGAAGCACGCGGCGAGTGGGACGTCAGTGCAGGGTGGGTGACATGGAGGAGATGGTGTGAAGAGGAGTTGAAAGAGTATGGACTAACATGGATGGAGGTGAAAAGTACAGCAGAAGATAGAAGCAAGTGGAGACGTGCAGTTGAAACCTTATGTTCCACTAGGAGCCCAAGGGAACAATAATAATAATACATATACGGCAGGTAGTGTGCTGATCAGGGTTAACTGAGGAAAAGAAGCTTAGTAGGTGCTGATTGTTAAGCTTTTACAATACCTTCATAATACTTTCAGTCAGATATTTGTACGACTGATCAATAATAAATACTTAATTATTGAATTGAATTTTCGATTTTCCCGTCGATTGATTGGACCGAAGTGTTCGGTCTCAGGTTGACATGTCGGCTTCTTGTTCAGATGCTTCGACGATGTCTGGGGATTTGATTTGTATACAATTGGTGGATGGTGGCTAGCAGTGGGATCCAGGTGGCTCTCGTGGCCCAAGTGGTCTAGTGGATAACGCTTTGGCGTTTGAAACTATGGGCACTGGGTTCGAGCCTCGGTGGGAACATCATCACTCACTGAGAAATGCAGGTACATTCAGATGACGAGTCCCAATTGGGACGAAATGCGCATCCTGGATTCCACTGCTAGCCACCATCCACCAATTGTATACAAATAAATACTTACAATATAAAAGTGAATATTCAATCCTTTAATTACATTAATTGGATTCACAAAGGTCAAATAATTTGAAATGTCTGCCAGATAAACTCTGCTTGTGTGTGTGTGTGTGTGTGTGTAAGTCAAGCGTTTTTACACAAGAAAGAAAAAAAACAAGATCATTATGGTGACACAGAATGATGTTTTAATAATTCTGTTGGAAGAAACGTTTAGAATTCAGAAAGAAATTAGGTTAATCACGCATTCATCTTACTGAATATTTGAAAGCTAAGTAATTTTACAGTTCTTTTCTTTTGGTAGTCATTTCGTTAATACTATAACAGATAACTGTGTGACGCTTAACTTTCTGATGGCGTAGTTAAGCTATCTTCGCTGAAGTCAAGGCCAGTAAAACGTCAGCCGTGAAGAGCCAAACAGATTTAGAGAGTGCTAAGATAGGTCACTTCGAATCAAATCCTGACTGCATTTATGGCTTCAGTGAGGGGGTAGGTACATTATTCCACTTGTTTCCGAGGTTCTTTTATCTGTACACCTACATTTTCAGCTAAGTTTAGTGTTCTTAGTGGGAATTAATCTAACCTTAAGGTTAGGATTAGGGTGTTTAGGGTGTAGGTTAAGACTAGAGTTCCGGTTAGGTTAAAGAACAGTGTCAGGAATATCAATGGATGCGAAAGTACTATGATCCACAATCACCTTTATGAATATATCTATCTCATGTAGAGTGATTTCTGCGTGGATCATGCTTGAAGTAACTGGGAGACATTCTTACAGCACATAAGGGATAGTTATCCAGCATATTTTTCTTGCCAATATACAACTTTTTCGTATCTGAATTCTGATTGGTTGTTCAAAGTCAAAGTGATTTTGGTTATGATAGGTCAACTATGCCTCTCCACTTCTTTTTTTAACATCCCAGCAAGAATTTCCCATATTTGTTTTGTGACTATTATTATTATTCTTTGAAAATATTTCAGGTAAATGGCGTCGACGTAACTAGATTTGGACATGAGAAAGCGGCTGCAGCTCTACGTGATGCTCGTGATCGTGTTGATCTTCTTCTAGTTTACCGACCTGAAGGTTAGTTAGTTGCATGTATGTGTGCATGTGTTAATGTACGCCTAATTATTCCTAATTATTAAATTTATTTTTACAGTACAGCGATGTTTATATTCCCGCTTTCACTTGTGGCCTCTGAATTCTATTGGTTGTTAATTGTTTAGCTTATCAAATGAAGGCTAATTAAATCAAGGTGATTTAGGCCTATATTTATAAAGCTGCTGTCAATATTTTTTCTCACTGTTGAATCGAGACAGTAAAAGCTGTCTACTCAAAATGGTCTGTCTCCCTCCTTTCTGCATAGCGTCTCGTGTCAGTGGTATCGTGTTGTTCTAACCTCTTTCATGAAGAAAATAGTTGTATGTAAAAGGGATTGTACAGTTAAAGAGGAGTATGAAATGGTCAAATTCAGCCTCCCCCTGACCTTCTCTTTATGTATTAACCTCCAGTTTTATGCGTTTATTTGCGTAGAATGTGTAAACGGAAGTCAAACTTGAAACCTCTGTTTTCTCTATGTTCACCTAAAGTCCTATCTTTGATGCTTCTTCTGCCAACTTGCTGCTTTTCACTTACACATGTTCCAGTTTGTGGGAAATCAGACATATTAATGTCATCGGAGAAGTCCAGATCCTCCAAGTCTTTTGTGTGAGTCCATTTTATGCCTATTTATTCATTGCCCGTTGTCTGTCACATTATCCAGTCTACTCTTCTCACTCAGGAAAATCATTGGAGATAGTAGGCAGTCAGCCAGCCAGCTTGTCTCACTCCTGTCCTCACTTCGAAGGCTTCCGTAAGTTTCCCGTTGTGGATTACTTGGCATTCAGGATTGCCGTACAACTGTTGGATGAGATGTATAATTGTGGATGGGACCCCGTAGTAGCGAAGTAGTTTCCAAATCACCTCTCGATCGACACTGTCTGGTGAAGGCCTTTTCAAAGTCGATGAAGTTGAGTGAGGCGGAGAGGTGACTGACATTCCAAGCTTTGTTCAATGATGATCCGTAGAGTGGCGATTTGATCAATACATGACTTGTTTCTCCTGACTCCAGCCTGTTCCGGTAGAAGTTTTTCATTCAGGGCGGCGTGTTTGATTCTCTCCAGGATGATGCGGCTTGGTATTTTGCTTGGGATGGACAGGAGGATAATGCAGCACCAGTTCATGCATTGGCTTAAGTCTCCTTTCTTTGGGTCTTTGAACAAGTATCCTTTCTTCCAATCCTCGGGTACTTTGCCCTCTTTGCACACCTTCTCCAGTAGTGATGTCATCAAGTATAATTTGAAGGTCATTCTGCTGAACTATAACTTTATGTATATATTTAAACAAATGAAGGACACTATTACGTATTGATAAATGAATACACAGACAAAAAAAAGGAAAAAAGAAGAAGCAGACTACTCCTCGATAACTGATTACTTGATATCAGGAAAGACAATTTGCATAAAGCTCGGATTAGTTTTGTCGGTAGATTTCAAATTTAAATAAACTTGAATAGATGAATGGATGAGTGAATGTCTATTTTTGCCATCAATCCTTAAAAAAAAGGACAAATTACAATCTTGCGTGTATGTGCGTGTGTATGTGTATGTTTTCTTCAAACAGCATTTTCTCATATCTTCTTCTCCTCTTCCTTTTTTTTCTGTTAACATTTACTTTTTTTCCCTCCTCAAATCTTTGTGTCATTGTATTTATGTGACAGGAGATTTATGTATCTTACTGTGATTTTGACGTAGAAATGAAATTGGTCACAAAGCTATACTATACACCCACGCTACGATCACAAATATTACTTTTTTTTAATGCATAGTAGTATGTTATGCCTGATAAAGATTTAAAGAGTTAGGAATTTAAAACTTAATTTTAGTTGTTGTTGTTATTTTTTGTCTGCATTTGCTAAAATACAGACTGATTTCATTCAGTTCATGATGTAATCCTCCCTCAACCAGTAAAACAAAATTCTGTAAAAAACCACTACACGGAAATTGATCCAGCGCTCACTAGCGACTGAACCTATTCAGCTCAGGCAGTTACCTGAGGTTCTAGTGGGAAAGTATGACCAGTAGGGTACAACAGGTCGAAGATGAGGACTGATACTCATCGATGAAGAAATTGTGAAGCTGTCGCACTATGTCATGAATTGGCAGAAGCTAGAACTCATGGGTTGGTTACTGGATCGGGTCCCAGTGACTTTCTGGTCTACGAACTAGCTCGCCTTGTAACCAAAAGGTACTGGGTTTGAACCCTGTCGGTGAGCGTGTACTTATGAAGAGTCCCAAACTAGACTGACATAATAATAACTGTCCAGTACTCCCTGTTGGTTTTCCAATGGTTCTCTAAATGATTTCAGTCCATGCTGAAATCCTCCAACCAACAATCAAACAAGAATTCCTACAAAACCAGTACTTAAAATACGTATGTAATGAGTGTGGCTAATACGGTGTATATTGTCTGCATTTTGTGTCTATTATCATCCGTACAAATGTGAATTGGCGCTTATTTGACGCTGACTAGAAACAGATAGGGAAAATAAAAACATTGTGGCTAAATTGAAGATGATGTTGATTGGCTTGGGTGTACGACTTTGTAATCAACGCGTCTCAGATTCGAATCCAGGACCGCGCACTTTTTAGCCTGATTAGTTGTAAAGTAGCAACAGTCTACACAAGTTAAGTGGGGCTCTTAGTATTATTTGTCGTGATAAAAGTAATCGCTACAATGTTCAGATCCGTGCTTAGCCAATTAGTGATTAGTATACCGAATGCCGAGGAATTCTGTTATTATATTTCTCTCAGCTGGGTGGTTCAATTGTGACGATATCTTTACCACAATCTTTTATAATAAATTGGGTCTCTAGAATTTTGCATGAATTAAGTAAGTGCCTTTCCTGATGACGTTTTGATAGTATGACTTATCCCCTGGAGGTTGATAAATGTGATCCATATCTGATTACCTGTTAGTTGGAAACTGAACTCTGCTAAGTAGGTTTCTGGAATTTTTCAAAAATTGCTTTGTAACAACTTTGCTTAAGATTTATAATTTGTTTCAGTCGAACCGAAGTCATTGGTTGTTTACCTGTAATAATAATATAAATGAAAGAATCTCATGTCTCTTGACTTCTGGGCACGAAGGTGTAGAGTTATCGGTTTTGACGAATGTAGTGTGTCTCCCAATTGATGAAAATCTATCTGATACATGAGTTATTACAAGTGAGCTCACAGGAATGGATTTTTGATGCACTAATCTGTTGCTAAGCTGTAGCGTTGGTGGCACAGCGGTAGAATGCTCGCCGACCACGCTTCATGTGGTCCGGTGTTCCATCCCCGACCACCGATGCATTCCTTTACCTCGCTAAGCCAGTAGTAAGACTGGTAAAGGGGAAGGGTTGGGCATGACGCTAGCAACTACATCCCGTGGAAATAAACACCACTGCTACCTAAAGTTCAAGCCTCTAGCTTGTAGCCCTACGTTCCACTGGGAACGTAAAAGAATAAAAAACGCTGTTTCTAATGCCTATTTCGCAAGACTAAAATAGGCAGAGTGAGACCCATGGGTTAGAAAACAAAGACTCAAGCCAACGGATTGTAGCATATCAATGATGCCTTCTTTTGCTGTTGAGTCATTTTGTTCACATTATGTCAAGATATTGAATAACTATGCCAAGAAATGCTAAATTAGCAGTACTTTAAAAATGTCTCCTTCGCCATAGGCAGCACAAAAACAACAGAGCTACAAATCATCTCCACTGTGAAATAATGGGAAAGATTTCTAGCTGAAGTGGGCGATTTTGATGTGGCTTTGTTTTCTGAGAAGTTGACCGCTTGGGGGGTGGGGTGGGGGGTTAACTGAAATCAATGATAATACGAATTACCACACGATCACAATAAAGATCATTAAAAGATATAATTATAGCATTCATGGAATGAAAGCTTTACGCTTTGCTCTGAGAACACAACCACATGGAAATCATCCACCAGGAGCTACAAAAATAATAAAGGTCAAGTACCCTATGTATAATGCCAATGATAATATAGGCAAATGATTTCGTGAATTTATTCAGCGGTATATAATATAGTGTGCTTACAAGTGATGCATTTATGAATAGTGTTAGTCTCATGAAATGATGTCGACCGTACGCCAAAGAAAATAACACCACGTTATATGCTTCAGTTTAATATCCGAATTCTCTCCCCTATGTTGAGTGAAACCAATTTTCAAACTGATTTCAGAGCGATGAAGGTCTCCCTTGCCTTTCCCATTCTGGTTTCGACATCACCATCCCTGTTCTCACCTGCAATTGAAAAGATGCTACCTAGATGAGTGAGAGAAGAGACCTATTTCAAATTAATTCCCTTGATGGTGATTAGTATTGGTTGTTGGTTGGTTGGTTGGTTGGTAATCTTCACCATCTCCATCTTCTGTTTGCTCACTTGAGGTCCAGTGCTAATTGGCTGCTCCTTCTCACAACTTCTTGATCTTATACAGCCTCCTTTACGGTCCAACATATTCGTGTCTTCTCTTGCACCCACACACAGTCTTCTGAATACTCCACTTCACGAGAACTAGGAATACCATCGGTGATAATAGCCATTTTTATCTAACTCCTGTATACGTTTGAAAAGCGTCTATGAGTTTTCCATTTTGGACCACTTAACATGTGACATTGTCATATAACTATTGAATGAGGTTGATAAAGATTTGCGGAGCCCCATCGGGTTGAAGCAGTCTCCAAATTACTTTTCATTCAAAGCTGTCGAAGACCTTCCAAAGCATATGGAACTGCTACTGTGTTAACTGTTCAATGAAGATCCGCAGATTTTCTATTCGATCTATACACATAAGTTTCTTTTCCTGAATCCACACTGTTTCGGACAGAGTTCTTCATCCAGACTGTCTTCTATTCTCTCCAGTATGACGCAACTGGATATTTTACTTGGCGTAGACAACAGCATGGTTCCACGCCAGTTCTTACAAAAGCCCAAGTCGCCTTTCTTTGGTAGTTTGACAAGGTAGCCTTTCTTCCAATC